TTGTTCCTTTGATTTTGTTGATATACAGCAGTCTAGCATTTTTTTCCTAAGATGAATGACAGACATTTTTAAAGCAGGTATCAGGTAACAGGTATTATTAAAAACTAGATCATTGGATAATGCAATTCAAGACTTTTTATTGGCTTAGCCATTATGGTATATCAGCCAATATACCATAATCTACAAATATGGTAAGCGTACATGTCAGCTTAAAATTAAAATGGAGCCAAAAATTTAATAAAATTTAATAATTCAACTTAACGTTTTTAATAAAACAATTATTCCACTCGTGCTTGTTGGATATGAGATGATTATAGCCAAATCGGCGCTACGCGCCTTGTTGGCTATCTACCATCTCATATCCAAGGCACGCTTGTGGAATAATTGTTAAATAGCTACCCATAACTTGAATCCTCCAGAGATCAGAGGGAGGTAGACAGAGGAGTAGAAGCCAGGTAGAATAGCAGTTAGATGGCTTCAGGAGATGGAAAGAAAGCTTTTAGGGTGGAAACTGGTTGAGAAACTGCAATGTTTCACAGAGAAGGGTAGAGTGGGGGTCTGGAGATTTTCATCTCTTTAAATCAGCCAGGCTTGGCAAAGGTTGTCATCACAGATAATTAGATAAATGTCTTTATTTTGAAAAAAATTATGATGTTCATTATCATGTTCAGTTGAGGAAAAAACCATTGTTGGTCTTTTTTTTTTTTCTATATAGCTACAGCTTTGAGTGCAGACAACACCATGGCATCTGCAAAAGGTAAAGTAAAATAATGATGATGATAAATTACTAAGCTAAATGATGTTTTATCAATAAATGAGTAAAGGCCGTGTTCTGTAGCTACATACTCTCTTTATTACATTGTGTTATCCCTTACAGTTCTCTTAATCTAGATAAATCCTCTCATATTTCCAAGGGCCCTCAATTGAAGTATCATATAAGTATTCGTTTTATCTGTAAAGACTTGCATGAAACAGTATTCACAAGAATAAAAACTACAAAAAATTCATAACTACTCTTTTATTGCAGGGAACTTGAAAGTCTCCATAAAAATATTTTCTGGTCTTCCTGATCCAGAGTGGCAAGTCATTCCTTCAGATCCTAACTACAATAAAATTAATGAGCTTCTTAACACTGCAAGAACTGGAGGGTTTGTTTTGAATCCCTTTAAGGACATGCCAGCACGACTTGGCTTCAAAGGATTCACAATACAGGACACAACCAAGGGGATCAAAGATCTGGAATATATCTATGGTCCACACACTGTAAAACTTCAACAGTTATTACTTCAGAGCATGCCAAGTGAAGTGCTCTCTGGTAAGTTACGAGAGGATCTCTCAAAGGAGATTGGGAAAGAAGCTTTAGGAGCAACATCAAGTGAGGCAACATCAAGTGAATCAACATCTAGTGATTCAACCAACTCACCAACAGTACCACACTCAGAGTCTGGTAATTAAACAATGACCTGCTAATAGGTCTTTAGGTCTTTTTTTTGTTGTTGATTACCCTAGTTCTCAGTTATAAGGCACACTGTTTTTTCAAGAAAATTCTGTCTTCAGGTGGAAAGTTAGAGCTGAAATTGGGGTGTGTCTTATAGCCAAGTATTTTTGGGCAACAAAATCTTAAGATCACACTTTCAGCAGAACTTACCGTTAAAAAGACAAGAAAAAGACACTAATTGTTGGTCATTGACTTTTTAGATCGGGTGGTTCTTTGGTGATTGTCTGTCTTCCCTTTGAACCAGTAATTTCAGTTGAACATCAATCTCTTTGATACTTAAATTTGCTCAGAATTCTGTGATCATGCTCCTTACCCCAATACTTTTCAAATACTAAATTACACTTTCTTTTGTTAGGTCTCAAATTATAATAAATAATTTCAACTTTTTTTTCAACATTTTTAAAACCTTTTGACCCTAAAGAGTGACTAGCATCTAATATCTCTTTACAATATCACCCCTGAAACAAACAGTATGGTTAAGAGAATAAAGGATAAGATCACCTACTAAATGGGCTCTTGACTGTTGACAAATTCTACTTGTGAACACCTTAGCAAATTTTAAGAGAACAGTAAGGGTAGAGGGTGAATACCTTTCTTGGCTGAAGTGACTGTATTATTAGTTAGGATCATACTTCTTTTGCATTTTTTGTAGGAAACTTGAAAGTTACCATGTTAGTATTTTCTGGTCGTCCCGATCCACAGTGGGAAATACTTCCAACTGACCCAAACCATGACAAAATCAAACAGTCACTTGACACTGCAAGAGACCAAGGCTTTATACGCTCTATCAGAGAAATGCAATCACGACTTGGCTATAAAGGATTTCTTATACAGGACACAGCCAAAAATAATGAAGAGCCAGAATTTATTGCTGGACGAAACACAGTTCAACTACAACAGCTACTACTTCAAACCCTGCCTGACGGGTCTATCTCTGCAGATTATCGCAGGAAAATTTTAGAAGAGATCAAGCTTACTCCTTCCCCCTAAGGATATGCTCCACTGTTCTTGCTTGTAGACCAGTTTTGAGCTTTATTTTGCATTTGACATTTCTTAATTGTTGTAGAAAAATTGAGTTACAAAATTTGAATACTCTATCAAATAAGAATTGATTATAGTAACTGTTATATTATCAAAATGATATTGTCATACTTGTATCAAAATAATATTCAGCAGTTTCCCTTTAATGAAAAGCAACTGTGGAACAAGCTTTTGATAAACAACTTATCATATCCTTCCAGGTGATTTTGAATAAATTTATAAGTAACAAACTTTTTAAGTCCAACATAGGTATTAAAAATTCATAGAACTTCATATCGTTCTTTTTTTTTCTTTCTTTCCGTTTTATTTTTCATATTTGCCCATAAATGTATGTTCTCTAGGAAGAATTTGCCAAGGTGGAGCTGCATTCCCAAGTTCCTGACATGCTCACATAACCCAGCATAGGACAATGGATAAACCACTTGCATGCCAGTCTCAAGTTATAAAACCTAGTTTAAAAATAGAGGAAACTAAGTTTATAGTAAAACAACAACAACAACAACAACAGCAACAAATTATGCAATGCAAGTTTAGAATCCTAAATGGCACCCCTGGAGTTATTGTGGTATTTTTATCAATAGTTTTCAGTATTTAAACTTTGAAACAACAAAACACATCGATAGGTGATTTTCAAATGAATCATTACAAAGCAAACTTACAGTAGTCCTATCTACTCACTTCAATTTCATTAAATTTCAAATTTGGTTCTAAATGAACAACAATTGAGAATTTTGTTTGAAGGCTGATGTGAATTCCTAATTAAGTTCATGACATACACTCATGGGGTCTGTCTTACTCACACTAAAGTGGATAAAAAACTTGGATACACAACCTAAAATGTCTTTCCTAGAATCAAAACTATTGAAGGCTGGTCAATAAACAAAGTAACAATGCAATGTAAAACAAGGTAATTAATGTCCACTTTCAAAATCCTGAACAGAAACCCTTGGCTAAGCATCCCTAATTAGTTTAAAACCTTTTTCTGTGGTTCAACTTTGCTTTAAAAACATGATTTATCAATATGACTGAAACTCAAACTGTTTACAGTAACAAAAGCCCTAAATCTCTTGCCACCATGATCCAGAAATATAAAAATTCCCCTCAAAGGCTAAAATCATGTTTAGATCAAGTCAGTGTTTTCCAGAGATCTTTTGGTGGCCTGACCTAAAAACAGAAACAGGTGGGAAACAAGTCAGTGCCCAAAGGGAACAGCTGCTTCAAACAAACTCAAACTAGGTTTAATTTGTGTACAATTGCAGCAACAAAATTAGTACAAGCACATGTAGCATTGTTGCAGACGTGTGTAAATACAGATAAGTTTTGTTACTGAAACCTGTCCCTGCAACAATGAACAGTGTGTTCAGACAATGAAGGCAATGTGATCAGCCTAAGGGGTCAACCTCATGTGAAAAGCCCATCTCATGCAAACCCTGAGCCCTTTACCTTAACAGCCCTTTCACCCCCAAGCATGAATTTCTCCTCACAACATCCATACATTTTCAACCAGAGAGGTGACAAGAAGTAAAATTATTATCAATTAGGAGGAATATTTTTTGATTAGCCAACCATCAAATTCTTAATAACTCACTAATAGTATAGAGAATCAACATTTAAATTTCAGTAGTGAAAGGGTAGGGAAGTCACTCTCGATGAATTCATGCACAGCCACAATGGAACTTGGCTGACTTTGGACGCACAGACTCAAGGGTTAGTCCTGTGCACTTTACATGGTACCAGTCATCGCAGTCATCACATTGTACCCAGTCGACAAGTTTGTCTCTTTTGTGAGGATGAATACAGTCCACAGATGCACAAGAGTTATACAAGAGATTGTCTTCATCTTCATCACCTTCACTGCTTATGATAGATTCTTGTGAATTTTTCTTGTGGGTCCAGGTATGCTTTCTTGGTCTACTTTTCTTGGCCACTAATTTAAAAATACAACAAATGTTGCAATACATGAAAACTTACTACAATGTACATGTAAGTGCAAAAAATAACACACGTGTGTACTCTCACCATCTTGCAGTATGACAGTGTGATCTTCATTTGAAGAATTGCCAAGATAAAGAGACAGCACATGTTTTAATCGTCTTGCATGTTGAGTACATGTCAGGCTGTTGATGTGCCTGTCTTGTATACTAGTTAACACCATATACGTAGGATAGAAAATGACTTGTAGTTTTAGGAGAAGAATATATTATTTAAACAGTGATAGGTCTACCAGGGAAAAAGGACAACTTTATAAGTGTTGCTGACAGGATTCATGCAATTTTCATGTATAGCACTTCGATTAGTAAACACAGTTAAGATGCTCTGCTATTGAACTGCAGAAGGCTTGTGGTTTAATTAGATCAAACACTCACTAATGTCGACTTGTAAGACTAAAATCATGCCTTGAAACTTTTGTTTTTAAGTTACATTGTATTAACTTGAGAGTGTAAGTACTTCACCTCTCAGAGGACTCTGTTCTTCACTGTAAGATCTTTTTCTTCCTTCTGTGATGTTTTGTTGGGAAGGCTGGGGTATTTTCTTTGCAGTATAGCTGTTCATTACTGTCTGCTTATTTGCACAGTGAGAGAATGTACCAGGTTTTTCATATGATTCAGGAGACTCTGGCAGCCGAATAGAGAAAATTTCCTCATCACTATCTTCCAAGGCATCTCCTGCTGCAGCTGCATACACTCTGAGATCATCGTTACTTTCATCAGAATCTGAATTTTCACTAGCATGATTTTGTTGCCACTTTGAATTTCCAAGAATGGGACTGGATAATCTGTGATTATCAAAATCAAATTGGATTTGAGGTCTTAGAAGTAGGTATGCTAGAGGTCAAAATGACCAAGTAATTGAAAATGCAATATGTACTTATCAAGTGTGAAGGTGATGAAATTAAACATACATATCAGGTATTAATGATAAAAAATCAATCCTCTCAACTAATTTATCCCAGATTGTATGAAAAAAAGAAGGGAAAATTACAAATTAGAACAATTGACCATAAGAGTTAATCACACCATACTGAATCTTTAAGAGAATCAAATCACCTTCTAGTTTACAATGGTCTAAATATTTGTCATTATCATACATGCTTTCATTTCAAATGATTGTAAAAGCAACACCTTAACATAAATAATAAAGTTACCATGTGCTTGCCTGCAATTATTTGTGGAACAGGAGGAAGTCAAATATCCAGGTGTTCCTGGAGTATGAAAGGTTGAAAGGTCAGGAATGTGAGCTGCAGGCAACAGTGGAGTCTTTATTGATACAGGCTTTGGACGGTTTTGAGGGCTTGGTGTCTAATGGTGTTATAAAAAAATTATAGTAATAATTAAATAAAAGAAAAAAAAAGGAAAAGAAAAAAAAAAAAACATGCAAGTGATAAAATTGATGACTGTTTCTTAAAGGTGAAAGAAAAGCCAACTAAATGGATAAAAACTAAGAGGTTTTTTACTTACAGTATAAGGAAATCATGTAATATAAAGAGGAAATTCAAGAGAGAAAGCCAGTATAATGCACCTTTATTTGAAATTCAGGAGAGGAATTCATTTCTTCTGAAGTCCTCTGCTTCTTTTTGGGAGGCGTAGCTGGATACTTTTCAAACTAAATTGGATACAAAAAAAAAAATTAAACAAGGAGAAAAAGAACTTTCTATCTCAAAGAAAGCCTGCACAAATACACGATTGTACATGAACCTGCACAAGGTACATCTGGATAACAAGGTCCATCCATGTTTGACCCTTGGCTAAGAATGTTACTATACCTTGTTATTTCAGCAAGATATCCACATTGCCTACTTCTCAACTCAATATTTTAAATTGGTGAGTGAATCGTCAGAAAATTTCATGAAATGATGGTAGTAGCTTCTTATGGTGAAGTACAAAGTCATATTGTTTGTTTGATGCTTTTGGACAGGTACATGTACTCTCACAAAGCAGTGTTTCACCAAAAACATATAGTTTGAGCACTCTGGCATGGCTTAGACGATACCACAAGTGTGGGACTGTTTGGGATCCATATCGGTTCTCCCCCATCCTAGCATCAGCACTGCAATGATGAGGCCCAGAAGGCCAAAACAGTACTGTCTGCAGTTAGTTATATTATAGTATTATGTAAATGGGTCAGGACAAGATGTCAGGAAGATTCTATGAACCCTTTAACTGCCATGGGTGACAAACACCAAATTTCTCTTTACAATATCAAGGAAACAAGTGATGAGAATAATGAATACTATCAATTGGGGGATTACGAATTGATACCAATTCTAAGAACTAACAATTAAAGATGATTTATTCAGTGAATGACAGAGGCATTCTCGGAGAAAAAGTCCAGAGTTCTTTTTCTCCAAATATACTACTGTCATTCGCTGAATACATCATCTCTCACTTAAATCACCATGCTTAACATTTATTATCTTCATTAACACCAAAATCTGATTGAGCTAACTGCCTCCCAGTTGGCTCAATCGATAGAGCACTAGACTGTTGTGCGGGAGGTCGAGGGTTCAAGCCCCAGCTGGACCAACACTCAAGGTCTTAATATAATTGAGAAGAATATGCCTCCTTTCAATAACATCAAGAAATGGTTAGATATTCTAGTCTTCTCGGATAGGGACGAATAAATGGAGGTCCCTTCTCCTGCAGGGTTAGGGGTAGGAGAGGTTAATTTCCCACGCACGAGATTACTGTAGGATGGATGTCCTCCCCTGGGCTGGAATGGGTGGGTTTACTGGGCCCGCAGTAATTGGCGCAGGCTGTTGTGGTGTCCCTGCCTGTCGGCGAAGCTAATAAACTAAACTAAACTGAAATCATAAGAATCCTATGGTAAACAGTGAACAAGGCTGTGCTTGAAGAAAAATTGAAGGGAGCCCAGTCAGTGCTCTGAAACTGAGAAATCCAGGGTGCCCAGCATATGCTTTTTATGAAAAAAACTAAGATTCCTGAGTCACCCAAGAGCAAAAGTAAGGCACCAGGGGCCACCGGGTGCTGCTAGACCACAGCCCTGAGTAAGGATAGTTATCAATAAGATCTGCGGAAAGAGGGTTGGGTGTGGAGGGGGGGGGGAGGGAATTCAATAGTCCAAACTACTTCATGCTACAAAATTGTCATAAACTCTGTTGTCAAAGACCCCAATCACAACAACTGACCTTAAAACTGAACTCAGATTGCGGTTGTTGAGCAAGGTCCCCTGGTGTTAAAACAGCTCCCTTTAAATGTCCAAATGTAACAGTATCCCCTGGACTGAGATTACAAGTATCTGCAATTTTAATATCATTCACATATGTGCCATTGAGACTTGTGTCGGAGATTGAAAAGGTCTGCTTTCCTGTGCTATCCTTCTCTGTAATAATCCGTGCATGAAGTCTAGATATCATCACTTTATTCTTTTTGGAATCCAGGAAAATATCAGAAGTTGAAGGATTTCTTCCAACTACTGTTATTTCCTTGTTGATTCTAAAAACAGGAGCAAAAAAACTATCATTGTTAAAGCTTAAGTGATGGATCTTCTGTAGAAGACAAGATGTGCACCTCTGTAAATGCAACATTTGGAGAAATATCCTATTCCCAAGTGCAATCCCTCAAAAACAAATCTGGCTGAATCAAAACATCTCAAATGACTAGTCTGCAGAGTATCGAAGAACTCTTCAATTCCAAAGGCATTCTGCCGTTTAAAATGTATGGTAAGCAACAACAGACCTGGATATTCATCTGCCACACTCTGCACACAGGTCAAAAGATACGGTACTTAAGGTGCTGCTCTTCCCCCTTCCTTTTCACTACCAGCCCCACAACAGATCCGATAAAACAGAGGTAATCTAAAATATGTTTCCTGCTAAAACCAGTCTATTGGTGATGGGCCTTCCCTTTGATCAGAGTTAATAGAGGCTCCGCGTAGGTTCAAATTATCAGTTAAATACTCGGAATCATAAGGATAATTATTTTAAAACCTTAATAAGGGTTTAGAAGAAATATCTCTACCAAAATTGAAATGGAAGGGTTCTCACTTAATTAACCTGAAACTTGAAGGATCAAGCAAGCAGGAGTTTTAATATTTCAACAGTATTTACAGACGCGTTTCTGTTGATTTTATATTCTGAGCGTTCGTGTGAGAGTATTCCTGGAAAGTAAGTACTGACTGACGTTTCGAAAACCTAAGCGGGGTTCGCCATGAGGGTCATAATAAGTTGGACACATTTGCGTACAGAAGTCTTTCAAACTACGCATCAACACAACTGATCTTTCATTGCAAAATCATAATTTGGATCCTCTTCTTTTTAAATAAATCTATCATTCTCGCGTGCTTCCAAAGTACATGCCCCGTGTTAAAGTTAAAGCAGCTCAGATCAGCTGTTCAAACTCACTTGAACGTGTCCCCTATCCCCGGATAGGTCGCAGGAATCCCAATTCGACGCAATCGAAAGGAGGAACGATCCCCGGCCTCTGAGCTGTCAACCAAGGGCATCTTCCAGTTTCATGTGATTAAGTCTCAGTGAAGTCCTTTTTCAAAGAAAGAAAAGAAATGAAGTTGCAGCTCCCACTGTCCCAAGCTCGCTGATTTGTATAAGGAGTAAAAGATAACAAACATGGTTGAACGCAGAGCCTCTTTCCCATGTGAATTTACGCGCCAAAAGGTCACATGACAGTTTAAAGAGAATTGGGAACGAGGTACTGACCAAAAGATCTTCTCAGGTTCAGGAGAGAGAACTTGGAGCAGTAGTGGATTTTCAGAGATATGTAACGACACACTCCCCAAACAAAGTAACGAGGCATAAAATGGGAATCATGGAGAACAATTTTTTTCCTCTCCCTTTTACGTTCCTTACTTGGTTGTTTCATAGAGGCAAAACGTGAGCGAAGACCATAGTTAACTTCGGAAAGATTCATTCTCACCTTCAATTGTTCGGTCATACCAGATAATAAAAAGTAAAATGAGAAACGGAATTTGACATATCTAAACCTACAAGACGACAACAGATTGTTGAAATGTAGTTTAACAGACTCAAAATTGTGATAAACAGCGGATGAAACTCCTCTTCTAATGCCTTAATCAATCTTTGTAAAGGCTTCCAAGGTTTCTCGATCCTGAGATTAAGTCTGGCGGATTTGCTCAAGTAAGGGACGTAACCAGCCTGTAGGCCTGCAGACCATGCCCGAGCCTGTAATTTATTTCCCGCTCGCTTGACTTTTCCTAATACTCTTGCAAATGTCAAAACAAAACCGAACTTCCTTAGGCAACAGGCTTACAACGAGTCGAAAAGCTGGCTACGCTCCTTTAAGTATAATGACGACCTTATATAATCAAACGTACCCAGGCCTCTCAAGATTTTCCTTCTTGATCGATCCTTTCCTTTATTCGTTTGCTTATCAAGTTATTGTAATGAGGACTTCCACAACCAAATTTTCAATACAAAAAAAAAAAAGATTGATTGTAGAGGATCTACTTTTCAGGGAACCTGCAATGATGCACCTTATGTAATTTAGCGCAAGGTCAAGAAACCCAGGATAAGTCTTCGGGAGACATCGTTTCTTCTCCTTTCCTCTACTAGCATATTAACATCGATTGCTGGGGAATTCTATCGGAGAGTTTGCTTTGTGACTACAATAAGACTTTTCAGACGGGAATGGTATCCATTCTTTAGGGAATCCCATTTCTTCATTTACAAAATCAGCGATTAATGGGTTCCTGCTTTGCGGTGATACGCAGTAACACTGATCAGCACTGCCCAGGTACGATGGTGTATAGAAAACGTGCAACAATGGGGTGTTGAACGCCTATTGCAATTAAAATAAAGAACAGTTTTACTTAAATGTGAAACCAAAACCAAGGCCTCAGATACTACTAAACGTCCAAACGTTGTTGCTACTTTCAAAGCGTCACAAGCAGCATAAAGGTGGATGGGAACATCACACTTTCGAGCTGTTACACACCCCTCCACTCCCTTGGCACTTTAGCCCGCCCAGTTCCATGGTTTCAGTTTCAGATAATCTACATACAGCAAAGTTAATTGCCGAGTCAGCTTACCACCAGAAAATCGACTTAACTTAGCAATAAACTAAGAAAACATGCATATGATCGAAAATTAAATTGATAATTTTATTTTCCGTTGCGTAATGATTAATTCTTGCCTGAGGCGTGCAAACTTGAAAAAAAGGTCAGTTCTCTGCTGAATAACTTACGCCACTCTAGCGCGTGATTGCGTAATCGAACGAAAGCGGAATATTTGCTAAAGCATAAGTCAGGGTAAATCAAATTCAATATGTTGGATTTGGTTCAGTGCTCTACGTGCTTGAAAGATACCTGAGCGATGCGAGGTCGCAAAGGTCTGACCTGTTTGGAGCGTACTCGTCTTCCTTGCCCAGTTATCTCTTGAAGTTTTTAAAAAAAGGATTTTGAAGTACGCGAAGGAGAGCTGTGGATAGCAATTTTTGTCTCGTAAGACCAGTTATTGATGAAATCCCTTCATGATGAGGTTGTATCATTCGACTTTGGTAATGTGGCTAGTCGCTATTTTACGTAGAATTTCAGGAGAAACAGGTAAGAGTTAATTCGCACCCTTTGGATTGCAGTTTCACCCCGCTGATTCGAACTCCCAAGGGAAACGAAAAATGGTTCGGGTTAGTGAGGCTGGTGTCGAACTTCAATAATCTCGTTAATTATTAATAGGGAATCCTGTTTTTAATCATTCTTGCTCAACAAACGGTCATTTTCGTACACTGAGTTTGTACAATAAGAGCTTTTTAGAAAAATGTTCAGTTTGGAAAGTTTAGTTCGTGACAATCTTCATTAAAGATGGGACGTGTCAATCAGCTTTGTTTAGACAGACCTAGTTATCAAGGGTAAATCTAAACTAAACTATTAAGGGAAAGTAAAATAAGTTCAAGGTCGCGGGGAGTTCGATTTTACAGAGTTCAAACAATAGTCAGTTGCATAGAAATGAATGCAATGTTGTCAAACCTGTATTAACTGGTCACCAACGGGAAATGGCTGGGTCAACCAAAGATCAGTCTGCAGGTTTTTAATTTAGCTCCCTGATTCCCAAAGTAACATTTTTAGCATCTTGATACATAATCAATAATTTAATACAACTGATTTAGGACATTTAGGTGATTTAAGTCAAGCTGTCATGTCTTATCTTGTCTAAACACAAAATTGGGTCAAACAGAACAAATAAGCACCATTTAAAACCATAATTGATCACTTAATGAACAGTTTTCATAAAAAATGTCAACAAAACAATGGCCTACCTTAAAAACAGAACAATAGAGAAGTATTACTGTAAACTATTATCTGACAGTTGAACCTTTAAGTCACAACTGACTTAATGTGCAATGTCCATACGTAATATGTCCTAAAACTCCCAAGAAGAAAGATAATTTGCAATGCGTTGACAGTGGCGGATCTAGGGGAGGGGCACAGGGGGCCTTGGGGCCCCCTTATTTTTGGGTAAAAAAWWAAT